AAGTCCTAAAGGGGTCGACTGACAATTTTAATCATGACAACTTATTTGTAGATCTTACTTTGCTGAACATTATTGCTGTTTACAGTTTATCTCTATCTATAATAATATTCAAGATAATAACCAATAAACTGCTTCACTAAGTGCAGCTAGATACGCCCACAGAGGTCCAACCCTGAACAGTTTGGGCAAAAATGGACACAATATTCAAGCTTGATTCAGGTCTGAATTTGGATTGTAATTAAATATTTGACATATTATAGGTTTCTGAATAAATGTAGTCAAAGATCTTGAAATTGGTTATATGAATTGAATTTATATTCAATTAAAGATTTCTTGCTGTTGTGCAATACTTAGTAAATCTGTTGTCAGACTATAAAAAAATAAAGTTCAATTAATTCTCAATGTCATATTAGAAATTTATGAAAATAAAAAGGGAGCTTACATCAATAGATATAAACAATTCACCAAAGTTTCATGAGAATTGGTGACAGCATTTTTGAGTTATTGTCTGAAAACTGGAAAATCACCCCTTTTTTTTAATGAATAAAACCCCACAACTCAGAAATGTAAAATGTAAAATTTATAAAATTCGAAAGGGAGCTTACATTAATACATACAAACAATTCACCAAAGTTTCATAAGAATTGCTGAAAGCATTTTTGAGTTTTTGTCCGAAAAACTGGAAAATTCCCCCTTTTTTATGAATAAAACCCTGTAACTTGGAAGGTTAAAATCTAAAATTTATAAAAATCAAAAGGGATCTCATGTCAATAGATATAATCAATTCACCACAATTTCTTGCAAGTTGGTGAAAGCATTCTTGACTTATTGTCCAAAAACTGGAAAATCCCCCTTTTTTTTTAATGAATAAAACCCCACAACTCGGAAACGTAAAATCTAAATTTTATAAAATGCGAAAGGGAGCTCACGTCAATAGATATAAACAATTCACCAAAGTTTTATGCAAATTGGTTAAAGCATTTTTGAGTCAATGTCCGACATGTTGACGACGGACAGACGGACAGACAGATGGACGGACGGACGGACAGAGGTATACCATAATACATCCCGTAGACGGGTGTATAAAAACTGCAAAATATCCATACAATTACCAATTCAGGGGCAGCAACCCAACAACAGGTTGTCAGATTTGTCTGAAAATTTCAGGGCAGATAGATCTTGACCTGATAATCAGTTTTACCCAATGTCAGATTTACTCTTAATGCTTTGGTTTCAGAGATATAAGCCAAAATCTACATTTTACCCCTATGTTCTATTTTTAGCCATGGCGGCCATCTTAGTTGGTTGGCAGGGTCATCGGACACATTTTTTAAACTAGATACCCTAATGATGATTGTGGCCAAGTTTGGTTAAATTTGGCCCAGTGGTTTCAGAGAAGTAGATTTTTGTAAAAAGCTTACGACGACGGACGACGAACGCCAAGTGATGAGAAAAGCTCACTTGGCCCTTCGGGCCAGGTGAGCTAAAAAAGGAAAAAAAATCCCCTCTCAAATTTTTTGAACCCCCTTATGATTCATCACCACAAACTCAATCCCAGCCTTTCCTTTGTGGTATGGTACCTTGCAGTACAATTTCAGAGAGATCCATACACTTGAACATAAGTTATTGTCTGGAAACTAGAATAAAATGCTCCGCAGGGCGCAGCTTGATACGACCGCAGAGGTCGAACCCTGAACAGTTGGGGGAAGTATGGACACAACATTCAAGCTTGATACAGCTTTGGATTTGGATTGTGATTAAATATTTGACACAGCATAGGTTTCTAACACAGATTGAATGTGGTCTAAGAACTTAAAAATTTTAAATTGGACATTCACCTATTATGGTCCAATATCCAAAATCTAAATACATGGTTAGATTCAGCATATCAAAGAACCCCAAGAATTCAATTTTTGATGAAATCAAACAAAGTTTAATTTTGGACCCTTTTGACCTCAATGTGGACAAAGTTGATAACGGGGCCCAAAAATCAAAAATCTAAATACATGGTTAGATTCAGCATATCAAAGAACCCCATATATTCAATTTTTGTTGAAATCAAACAAAGTTTAATTTTGGACCCCGATTTGGACCAACTTGAAAACTGGGCCCATAATCAAAAATCTAAATACATGTTTAGATTCAGCATATCAAAGAACCCTAAGAATTCAATTTTTGTTAAAATCAAACTAAGTTTAATTTTGGACCCTTTGGACCTTAATGTAGACCAATTTGAAAACGGAACCAAACATTAAGAATCTAAATACACAGTAAGATTCGGCATATCAAAGAACCCCAATAATTCAATTTTTGATGAAATCAAACAAAGTTTAATTTTGGACCCTTTTGACCTCAATGTGGACAAAGTTGATAACGGGGCCCAAAAATCAAAAATCTAAATACATGGTTAGATTCAGCATATCAAAGAACCCCATATATTCAATTTTTGTTGAAATCAAACAAAGTTTAATTTTGGACCCCGATTTGGACCAACTTGAAAACTGGGCCCATAATCAAAAATCTAAATACATGTTTAGATTCAGCATATCAAAGAACCCTAAGAATTCAATTTTTGTTAAAATCAAACTAAGTTTAATTTTGGACCCTTTGGACCTTAATGTAGACCAATTTGAAAACGGAACCAAAATTTAAGAATCTAAATACACAGTTAGATTCGGCATATCAAAGAACCCCAATAATTCAATTTTTGATGAAATCAAACAAAGTTTAATTTTGGACCCTTTGGACCTCAATGTGGACCAATTTAAAAACGGGGCCCAAAATCCAAAAACTAAATACACGGTTAGATTCAGCATATTAAAGAACCCCATGAAATCAAGAATAAAACCCCATTGAAATTGGTCAAGAAATAAGCAATTTATAGGAAGTATCTTCTTTTGCACAATCCTGTGCTATTAAATATTTCTTGCTATTGCGCAATACTGTACAATTGACAATTTCTTGCTATTGCGCAATATTGTGCTATTGGATATTTCTTGCTATTGCGCAATACTGTGCAATTGAAGATTTCTTGCTATTGCGCAATACTGTGCAATTGAAGATTTCTTGCTATTGTGCAATACTGTGCAATTGAAAATTTCTTGCTATTGCACAATACTTATTATATAATAATTTACACATCCTGTTTGGTGTGTATCTCCTACCATATCATTATTATTTGATTTTAAATATAAATCAGAAATAACCAACTTAAAATGGAAAATTTTAAAAGAAACAAAAAAGGAAAAAAAGAAAAAAAAGGAAAAAAAAATAAATCCCCCCCCAAAATTTTTTGAACCCCCATTATGATTTATCACCCCCAAACTCAATCCCAGCCTTCCCTTTGTGGTATGGTACCTTGCAGTACAATTTCAGAGAGATCCATACACTTGAACACAAGTTATTGTCTGGAAACTAGAAAAAAATGTGTTTTTTGGCCCCTTTTTGGCCCCAAATTCCTAAACATTTAGGGCAATTACCCCCAAACTCAAACCCAGCTTTCCCTTTGTGATATGGAACCTTGTAGTACAATTTCAGAAAGATCCATACACTTACACACAAGTTATTGTCCCGAAACTAGAAAAATGCTGTTTTTGCCCCTTTTTGGCCCCAATTTCCTAAATTTGAGGCAATTACCCCCAAAATCGATTCCAGCCTTCCCTTTGTGGTATGGTACCTTGCAGTACAATTTCAGAGAGATCCATAAACTTGAACACAATTTATTGTCAAAAAACTAGAAAAATGCTTGTTTTTTTGCCCCCAAATTCCTAAACGTTTACGGCAATTACCCCCAAACTCAAACCCAGCTTTCCTTTTGTGATATGGAACCTTGTAGTACAATTTCATAAAGATCCATACACTTACACACAAGTTATTGGCCCGAAACTAGAAAATGCTGTTTTTTGCCCCTTTTTGCTAAAATTTGGAGGCAATTACCCCCAAAATCAATCCCAGCATTCCCTTTGTGGTATGGTACCTTGCAGTACAATTTCAGAGAGATCCATACACTTGAACACAATTTATTGTCTGGAAACTAGAAAAATGCTTACTTTTGGCCCCTTATTCCTAAACGTTTTGGGCAAATTACCCCCAAACTCAATTCCAGCTTTCCCTTTGTGATATGGAACCTTGTAGTACAATTTCAGAAAGATCCATACACTTACACACAAGTTATTGTCATGAAACTAGGAAAATGCTTGTTTTTGGCCCCTTATTCCTAAAATTTTGAGGCAATTACCCCAAAATCAATCCCAACCTTCCTTTTGTGGTATTGAACCTTATGGTAAAATTTCATAGAGATCCATTCACTTAAACTAGTAATTGTCCGGAAACTTAATGCGTCTTTGGACGATGCAGACGACGACATGATAGCATTATACAACGCAAAAAATTGTTTGCGGTCGTATAAAAAATCATTGAAACTTGAAAATGAAGTAATTGACAAGGACAATAGACATATGAATGACAGAAACTTCGTAAGATAAGGCATTTAGCATCTAGATCTACCTTCTGATATATTAAAGTAAATACATAGTTAGCGCCACAGCTATATAAGCATCTGTATCTATATATAGATATAGTTAGAGGAGGAGGTCTTCCACTTCTAAAATATAAAGCTTTTAATTAGTTAACGCCGTCGCCACCGGATCACTATCCATATGTCAAGCTTTCTGAGACAGAAGTCACACGCCCAACAAAAATGAAAATAATGTTATGCAACTGATTGAATATCTATTGTTAAGGAAGTTGTAAATCAATCAACATTTTGGTGTGTATGTAAATATTACCCAGAATGCCATTTTGAAACTGTGAATTGTGAAATCAAAGTACAAAATTATGAACCTGTTGCCTTCCCAACATTCACCTTCCACAAGGAATGCTCAAACAATATGGTTGGGAAACCCATTTTGTTTTAATACAGGGGAGCTAGATTACTAAAAGGGCCTTTAAAGTAGTCGAACACTCACTCAGATCAACTCAGATACAAGGAATCTGTGAAATTCACAAAATCAAATAACTTGAGATGAAAAATAGCAAGTTATCTTACTTTATTTGTAAAATTATCACATCAAGTATTTCAATTAAAAATAACATGCTAAATTTACAATGAAGTTGGTGAATCTATCGGTAAATATTTGTTTTAAATAAACAAACTCATCATAGATTTCAAATGGTGTTTTTGTGGTTATTATTATAGGTTGACAACCAAAAAGGATAACACATTATACTTATGGCTATGCTTTAGGACTATACAAGCTCATTTTAAACTTTAGATAAAAAGATGATGATTTTTTACCTTTATAATATAAAACATTCAAATACAAGGCATTTCTGATGTTACACCATTTCACACTAATTTCAAAATGGTGGACATTATTCCAATTCTATCAAATCCCTTTAGTGAATTTATTTGGGAAATTATGTCTGTGGAGAATTCTTTCCATCCAAAAAAATGTTTGTTCTGGGAAGTGACAGTGACCGACATGTTTATATTTGTGCTCACTCACAATTTTAATACATTAAATATGTAAAAATAAACATACTGCAAATAAACATACACAATATTATTTAAATGTTTGAGGTCATAAAAGGTTTTAGGTCTACAGTATTCATGTACATAGTATATGACTGTAAAATGCTAATGCAACTTATGTATTAAATGTTTAAATTTGTCCCTTAATAATAAGTATCTTTAGATAAACTTATAAAATGTACTGCCTTTTTCTGTAGATAAAACATAAACACTAATGAATGATATGAAAGAAAGGTAGCTGAATAACATTGATGAATCATTTACTGAACTAAGTATGAAGAGTAGGGCCAATTTCCCCTGAATTTTTTTCTTTCTAGGGCCATTTTCAAAAAAGAATTTCAACCTTTACATAAATTCAAAATATCACAGTCAAAAATGTGTACTTTTGTGTAGGTTTTTACAATATTTTGACTTATTTTTAAACAGGTCATTAAACTATAAATGCTTGAAGAATGGCCAAAACTGCAATTTTGAGAGATTTTGGCAAATTTTGAGTACTTAAGCCAAAAATGTAGAAGGAAATCATTAACCAAAACCAAAATTCTTTTGGAAGAAAAGCTGAAAAGTCTTTCGTTAACAAATATCTTCATTTTGGTAGGTGATCCTTTAATGCGAAATTTGACAAAAGTATGTGAAACTTGCAATTCTGTCTTATCAGCAACATGTAGTAATACTGAATTTTATTTTTTATGGAAATATGAAAAATTGTGAAACACTACTTTAAGTATATGATATAAACTCTCATATATTCAATTTCAAGTAGAACTTGACAAGTTTTTACATGTTGACCCTGTGACAAAAAATACAGAGGAAATTAGTCCTTCTTTCTACCTTAGATTGGGTTCTTGGACAGTAAGCACAACTTTGAATCTTACAAACTTGTAACACTTGACTGCGAGTTAACTTTATGTCATAATGGAATCAAATACACTTCTGCCATATTTTTAAACATCAAACAATTCTGTACACAGAAAGAAAAAGCCTTTTGAAATTGATGACAAATAATCGTGATCTCTTTAAATGCTTCATAAAATAAAACTAAGAATATTACACAAAAATATCAACTACAAGTTCTGATGGATACATGTTACAAACTGGACAAAACAAAATAAGTGCCAACGAATCTATAGCATACAAGTAACAAATCAAACACAATAAAATAAGTACCGAAGAATCTGGAAGTAAAACTTATAATGTACAATTTCAATTAATTTTTAATTCACCTAAACTTTTTTTGGAAGCCATGTTCAAATTTTATGAGGTTTACACACAGGAGATCTAGTTTTACCCCAAAAAATCACGTTTATGTGAATTAATTTCAATCGGTTTCATATCAGTGGAGTTAACAAAATGTGTCTGCCTAGGAATACTTCAGTAAAAAGTCAGAATTCATATTTTAAAACTGTTTTTTGTTTGGTTGATTTTTTTTATAGGGTTTCCATTGCTTTCCAACACTTTTTTTGGAAGCCATGTTGAAATTTTATGAGGTTTACACACAGGAGATCTAGTTTTACCCCAAAAAATCACATTTAGGTGAATTAAGCTTCCAAAAAAAGTGTGGGAAACCCTAAAAAATAATAATACAAGGAACAGTTTTAAAATATGAATTCGACTTTTTACTGAAATATTCCTAGGCAGACACATTTTGTTAACTCCACTGATATGAAACCGATTGAAAAGTGTGCCTCTCAAACTTAGATTTTATATCCATTATTCCACATGGAGAATCACCAATCTAAGGTATTTTGAAATGCATCACATTTGTTCAGATCTTGTACTATTTGCTATGATTTAAAGAGAAATATCCAACTGAATGATATGTAAATAATCGGGCCTCCAATAGATTTTGTAACAGAAGCTTCAGGCAGTGAAAAAAAGAAGACTGCTTGTCTGCTTATAAAAAATTTTTTGTTGTACTTTTAGTAGAGTATGAGTAGGAAAAGCTCCACCTATGTTTGAAAGCCCTGCAATAATAAAGTTAGCGTAACTCAACAGCAATGTTTGAAACATACAGATTCATTATTGACTAATGATAAACAGTATGCTTTTCTGAATGATAAATGGTGAAATACTAAAACTCCTTTAAATATCTTTACACTTAATATTTACATCAGGGTTGTTCCATTAAAGCATACATGGTACCCAGTGAAGGCACTTTAAAAATGGGGTAACCACCTATAGAGGCAATTTAAAATTTCACTTACATTTCCACTATGCAAAAACATACCACCCATAGTTGAGATTTGGAAGTGCCTTCCCTTGGTCCCATGTATGTTTTAATGGAACAGCCCTCAGAGGAAAACAGAAATATGCTTACAGCACTTTATTTTTGAATAAAAATTGGCATTTCTCTCTTTTTTCCTTCATTCCTTTAAAAAAATCTTCAGTGTTTTCTATATAAGGCTTTTCATATGAAGAATATGTATAGTTAATGTCAATGAGACATCTAGATTTTGGATGCATCGGACTTAAAATATGAATACTAAATTCAGTCTTTTCAAAACAAATCTGACATTTAATGCCTGGAATCATCTGTCAAAGTAAGGCATCATGTATGATTTTCCAGAAGGCAATTCTTTTTAACCTTAATCCAACTTACTGTCACATACAACACAAAACATGAAGACTCCTTTTTTATTTACAAGGATTAAGAAAAAAGATATCTTTTACATATATATAGTTTTCAGATAATGATTCCAAAAATGAGACCAATAACTCATTAATTTGACAATTGCTCTACTTCTGTTGATAATTACTTGTTCAATGAACACTTTTTAAAGTTTACAATGTTTATTATCACAGGTACTTTACAAGTATTCATTGAACAGCCTGTATTTTCAGAAGGATACTTCCAATTTATTTTGACAAGGAAAACATTGGACAATAAAAAAACACAGAAACCACTTTATTGTTCAGTTTATAAATATGATTATTTGTTTCAACATTTTATAGTTTTAAGCTAGAAACATGCTTATGAAAGCAATGCTCCCTACCTAAATCAATGTGTTATATGAAGAATAAAATGAGGAAAGCTGTTAACATAACCATGAGCTAACTATAATAAATAAAATTAATTTACAAGTATCTGTCATATTATACACCTTATAGATACCAGCTGTATATTGGCTTGTGTTTATATCTGCAAAGGTAATATAATAATAAAAACTATATTTAGAGAGTCTTTTTATAAGGTTGCTTCAATAAACACTATTATCTATTTGTCAACTTGTACATTTGTTTTTTTGGTATTAAGTTATTCTTCAGTTAAACTTATATAACAAAATTCAGTTTGATTTTTCATTCTGGTAGAATATATAAAATCCAGAATCCAATTTTTTTTTATTTCAATAAAAAGTAAAAATGAAGAATATTTTATACAGACGACATATAACAGCTATAAAAATATTCTGTTGACTTGATTTTAGAACAATTAAATACTTTTTCATAAAAAATATAAAATGTGCAAGTCATTAAGAGAATGTGTTGGCTAAAACATCTGTTCTTACACAATGTAGATATTGCTGATCCTAACTAAACGAAAAATAAAATCATAATATAACCTAGACATCACATTAAATATCTGTGATAAAGAAATTTTCTTGCTGTAATTTCACTTGTAAAAAAAGTTGTTCGTCAGAATCTATAAGCACACCCACATACGTTCCTTCTCTTTCACACTCCATCCTAATTTCAACCTAACGCTAAAGTATCGTTATTGATGTGCACATTGCACCCTAGGTCCATGTCCTTCTTCATCTTCATCATCCTCATGGTAAGCGTCTCTATTTCTCCTACGACCTCCACGACTTTCATCAAATTCTACTAAGTCCACTTCTTCTACATCTTCACCTGTGGGAATCTCTCTTTCTGGTCTGCTAGGTAACAAACTTTCTAGTTTCTGAAAAATATTGAAAAAATTCGTAAGGGTTCCACGGAACCCAGTGTCTCGCCTACTTTTGCTGTTAATCGCAGGCTCAACAAAAATGAGGAAAAAAATTAATAAAAATATTCCTCTCTATACTATCTTTTGATTGTAAGTAGCTTCTGTCCAAGTTTGGTAAAAATCCAGGATGGTTTATGAATCTAATAAATGTTTTTAAAACTTTAACTGCAGACTGTATGTAAAGTTAACTGGAAGAAAAACTAAGTCCATTTATAAGTAAAATACGGAAAAAATGGAACAAAATTTTATCAAAATTTCCTTCTAGATACTAGCTTTTGATCATAAACAAGCTTCTGTCCAAGTGTGGTACAAATCCAGGATAGTTTAAGAAAGTTGTTAAAACTTTAAAAACTTTAACCACAGAGTGAATGTAATGTTAACTGGCAGAAAAACTAAGTCCATTTATAAGTAAAATACGGAAAAAATGGAATTTTTTTTTTACAAAATTTACTTCTGGATACTATCTTATGATCATAAACAAGCTTCTTTCCAAGTTTGGTAGAAATCCAGGATAGTTTAAGAAAGTTATTAAAATTTCAAAAACTTTAACCACAGAGTGAATGTAATGTTTCCTGGCAGAAAAACTAAGTCCATTTATAAGTAAAATACGGAAAAAATGGATTTTTTTTTTTACAAAATTTACTTTTGAATATAATCTTATGATCATAAACAAGCTTCTGTCCAAGTTTGGTAGAAATCCAGGATAGTTTAAGAAAGTTATTAAAATTTAAAAAACTTTAACCACAGAGTGAATATTTGTGGACGCCGCCGGAATGTAGGATCGCTATGTCTCGCTTTTTCGACAAAAGTCGAAGGCTCGACAAAAATGGTTAGCGGATCAAATAACTTCATCATGACTTCAAGAAAATATAACAGTAAAAACTTGATGCAAATTTGTGTAAAAACTCTTGCTAGGCTTATAGCATGTATAAGATTTGGTTGACTTAATTATACTTTCTGATCACTGTTTGTTTTTTACTTCAATGCCTCTGTGACCTGCTTTACCACAAGATATATAATTAAATAGTTTGTTTCTTAGACAGGAATTGCCCAATTCGACGGAACAATGTGAAGACCTAAATTTAGAGCTTTAGTTGAGACATCCAGGCATAAAAGTTATGTAATATTGAATCAATCATTAAATAACTACAAGTTATAATATAAAGAAATGAGTATTAATGCTAATAAATTATCTTGAAATATCATGGTTTCCTTGAAACTATAAAATTGAAACATAAAAGCTATCAAAAATTGTGTGTTGTACATGTAGTATTTAGAAGTAATGAAATATGATTCAAATACCTTTCAAAAAAGACAAACAAATATCACCAAAACCTGAAGGTCAGACATATGGGGCAAAGGTTAACATATTCTTTTTTTTGTGGGTAAAAAAATGCAATGATTATAATGGTTGCAATATACTATTTTGATTCAACTATTGAATAGTGACATAAAACTGTTCTGAAATGAAGTTGATAAAAAGCCCATCAGAGCTGTGAAATATCAGCAAGATTTGATTAAATTGATCCAAACTGCATTGTTTCAGAAACTATCAATGAATCTACAAACTACTCAACTCAATCCAATTAAACACTATTCACAAACTTTCAACTTTCCTGGATACTTATATCAACTACTGAATATCAATTTTATTTATTTTGATTTAAACTTTAAAATTTCAAATTTCATTACTTACTTTTAACTGTTCTGGGTCAGCAAAGTTTTTGGGTGGGAAAGTGATATCAAATTTAACAATTAAATCTCCCTTTTCAAATGGATTTCTATATACAGACATGCCTTCACCTTTCACAACTTTAACAGATCCTGAAATATAATAAGATGTATGAAATTAAAATTATTTGTATAATGTAATATTTAGTGTTCCCTATCTACAAAATGAATTGTTCTTCCCTACAAATGTGCAGTTCTAAGGCAATTCCAATTTGTTTTTAGGTCTTCAGTTTTTTGAAACACAAAGTATAGTTAAGCAAGTAGAATTTCATTTTCTACTTGTTCAATCATGAAATCTTGTAAAACTTGTAGCATGTAATGTGCAAGGAAAATAAATATAGTGTACCAACAAAAGCTAGAGGCTCTAAACAGCCTGTCTCACTCGCCTGCATCTTCAACAATTGCCACTTTTTTGTTAAAATCATCATTAAAGGGGAATAACAGTATTAAGAGTTAAATGACAATTTCAGCCATGTTGACTTATTTGTAGATCTTATCCTCCTGATCATTTTTCTTTTTTAAAGTTTCTATTTATGCATTATAGTTTTCAAGATAAGACAACAAAAGCCCCAAAAAAGGTAAAAATTATCATCAAAGGGCAATAACTTCAATAAAGAGTTAACTGAAGATTTCAACCATGATGGCTTATTTTTTAATTTGTAGATCTTGTCTTAGTCATCATTTTTGGTTTTTAAAGTTTTCAAAATAATAGGCAAAAATGAAAAATCGTCATTACATGGCAATAACTTTAATAAGGTGCCTAACAATTTCGATCATGTTGACTTATTTGTAGATCTTGTCTTGCTGATCATTTTTGTAACTATAAGTTTCTTTCTATCTATAATTTTCTGAAAATGTGCACAAAAAAATGGTATAATTCGTTATTTAAGGGCAATAACTCCTATAAGAAATCGTTCGACAGTTTTGATGTTGATAGACATTTTGTAGATCTCACCATTCTAATCATTTTGGCACCGTTGAGATTTTTTTCTCTAACGGTTTTCAGGATAAAAGCCAAACAATACATTTACCCCTATGGTCGATTTTTAGCCATGTCGGCCATGTTGGTCGCTAGGCAGGGTCATCGGACACATTTTTAAACTAGATACCTTGATGATGATTGTGGCGAAGATTGGTTCCAACTGGCCCAGAAGTTTAAGAGAAGAAGATTTTTGTAAAAGTTAACGGACGAAGACTGATGCCAAGTGATACTTAAACTGACCTAATCATAAAACTTTTACATGTAAACTGCAAAAGTTTCCAAGTCAAAATACCTTGACATAAATGTTGCAGGCTTGACTGAAACTGAAAGCTATTTGTCCTTAACGGCAGATTTGGATTTCTGTCAATTTTTCTATTTTAAGAAATAATTTCAGTCATTGCATTGAGATTGGGTTTTTTAATTTTGTTTTGAAATGCTTTTCCGGTAATAAACTGCCACTCCAGTATAGACCTTCTTAATAAAAGAATAAAAGTTCCAATGTCCCCCTCGTTGCACATATTTTATCTGTTCTGTCCAAGGGCAACCACTAAAAAAAATTTAATTTTTTGTTCTTTAAAACATTTAAAATTACCTTACTAGAGAGTTGTTAACTTGAGAGCAATTTCCAGTATACAACATACATATGTATTTAATATTTCCAAGGGAAACTCATTAGAAGTTTTTGTCAGCACTCATTTTTCGAAATTGTCAAGAGACATTGCTGTTATATACCTTTGATATAAATTTGATAAAAATCTGGCAAAAATTGTACACACATGCGCGCTTACAATGCAATTTTCATTATAAATAATATTTCCAAGTGGCATAACTCTTTAAAAAATATTAGATCAGCACTGATTTTGAACTTATCTGAGACATTGCTGATAAGAGTCTTTGATATAAATTTGATATAAATCTGGCAAGAATTGTACACATGAGAGCTCTAACAATGTAAATTTCCATAAAATCAATATTTTCAAAGGGTATAAATCTTTTAAAAATAGTTGATTTGCACTGATTTTTGAGATTGTCTGAGACATTGCTGATATAAACTTATGATAAAAAGTTTCATAAAAAACTGGCAAGAATTGTACACATGGGAGCGCTTACAATGAAATTTTCCATATAATATTTCCAAGGGGGCTTATAAGCCTATGATATGTTTTATAAAAATCTTTCAAGACCGGACGCCTGGTATTTCTATGTCCACCGCAACATGTCGCACGGAGGACAGAAAACACAGAAAAATATATAAAGTTTATATTTGAATTAAGTGAAAAACAGCCTGGTCATTAGATATAATCTTATATTGTTACTTGACCATTGAACCTTACCTGGGTGTATAACTTGTCCAGGAGGATTTTTTATAAGTAAATCTCTACCATCTAACTGTTTCAATGTAAACTGGAACCCACATAAAGCTTCGGTTAAACTTAATGTGTAAGAACAAAGCAGATCTTCACCCTCTCGTGTAAAAACTTCATGATCTTGTGTTTGTAGAACAATAATCACATCTCCTGGTTCAATATCAGGCTGAAATAGGGAAAAAAAAAATGAAATTTCAATACAGGAAAAGTAAAAATACCATCCACATGTTATATAGTAAAAAAAATATTACTCTGGAAGACTAAAATATCTCTGAAAAACATACCAAGTTGAAGTTTAAACTTAGGTCACATGCTTATTATAATTGTTATCATGTTTCTACAATGTACAATGTAAATGATAAATTTAGATAATTGAGACAGGTTGATGTAAGGGAATGTTTGAACCCCCAACCAGTCATCTATTAAACAAATAATATTTCCAAACTTTAATACCAGCAGTAAAGTGAGTAATTTATAGCAGAATAAAAATTTGAAAATTGGTGACCTAAAAACAGTTTTATGTTCTACTTTCATGTTGATCTGTTACTTGTGGATGATTGTGTAATTAAATTATCACAACTTGTTACAGTTTTATAAATTTTATCGAAGGATCATTGGTCCAGGAAATCCTTTTAGCTGTAAATAGATAGGCCAAGAGTTCCAAAGATATCTGTCAATCAAATATTAATATACCAGGAAAGAACTATTTTATAGAAGATGTATCTCTTATCAACAAATGGGTCGTGAAAACAACAATCAAGTCCCCATGCTGAAAACGCTTTGTTATTGTGTTGTTCTTCCAATCAAATTGTCTGTCAGTTGTTTTTTACTTATCAAATCAGCTAAATGATTATGCAACATCCTCATGATGCAAATCTTCGTTTATTATAACTCAGACAATTGGTTCCCCTTTTAAATTTACTGAATTGTTTCAATTTAAACCCAAGGAGGTACAATGTCACTGTTATATCTATTTCATTTAATTATATCTTGGCCACTTCAAAAGTTTCTACTTTCCCTGTCAGTTTTTTTTTGTTTTACCTGTGGATTGAAATAATGAGTTGTCTCCCTTATACCAATTTTAATATTGACATACACTTCGTTATGAAAGTCAGTAGGCATGAAAGTTTGAGATTTTCACCAGCAAGGTTATCCCTGAATAGAATCCATAAGTTAACTTAACGTTTCCTAATGCAATCATTTGAATTCTGTAACAATCCTCTTTAATATGAGAAAATATTAATGTTTATCATGTTACAAACCAGCTGGTCTCCTTCTCCACGGAATGGTATTTTCTGGTTATCTTTCATGCCTTTATCTACATGAACTTCTAACACCTTGGTCTGTTGTGTAACTTTCTTTCCTTTACATTCTTTACATTTATCTTTTTCACTAATAGTCTCTCCTATGTAAATGTAAAACACACAATATTCTAATAATTTCTTACAATAAAATGCTCCGCTGGGGCGCAGCTTGATACGACCGCAGAGGTCGAACCCTGAACAGTTGGGGCAAGTATGGACACAACATTCAAGCTTGATACAGCACTGAATTTGGATTGTAATTAAATATTTGACACAGCATAGGTTTCTGACACAGAATGAAAGTGGTCTAAGAACTTAAAATTTTTTAATTTACCTATTCAAACCATATCATTATTATTTGCTTTTATATATAAATCAGAAATAACCAATTTAAAATGAAAAATTTTAAAGAAAAAAAAGGAAAAAAAAATCCCCCCCCCCCCCAATTTTTTGAACTCCCTTATGATTCATCACCCCCAAACTCAATCCCAGCCTTCCCTTTGTGGTATGGTACCTTGCAGTACAATTTCAGAGAGATCCATACACTTGAACACAAGTTATTGTCTGGAAACTAGAAAAATGCTTGTTTTTTGGCCCCTTTTTGGCCCCAAATTCCTGAACGTTTAGAGCAATTACCCCCAAACTCAAACCCAGCTTTTCCTTTGTGATATGGAACCTTGCAGTACAATTTCATAAAGATCCATACACTTACACACAAGTTATTGTCCTGAAACTAGAAAAATGCTTGTTTTTTTGCCCTTTTATGGCCCCTCATTACTAAATTTTTGAGGGAATTACCCCCAAAATCAATCCCAGCCTCCCCTTTGTGATATGGTACCTTGCAGTACAATTTCAGAAAGATCCATACACTTGAACACAAATTATTGTCTGGAAACTAGAATAAAATGCTCCGCAGGGCACAGCTTGATACGACCGCAGAGGTCGAACCCTGAACAGTTGGGGAAAGTATGGACACAACATTCAAGCTTGATACAGCTCAGAATTTGGATTGTGATTAAATATTTGACACAGCATAGGTTTCTGACACAGAATGAATGTGGTCTAAGAACTTAAAAATTTTAAATTGGACATTCACCTATTATGGTCCAATATCCAAAATCTAAATACATGGTTAGATTCAGCATATCAAAGAACCCCAAGAATTTAATTTTTGATGAAATCAAACAAAGTTAAATTTTGGACCCTTTTGACCTCAATGTGGACAAAGTTGATAACGGGGCCCAAAAATCTAAAATCTAAATACATGGTTAGATTCAGCATATCAAAGAACCCCATATATTCAATTTTTGTTGAAATCAAACAAAGTTTAATTTTGGACCCTGATTTGGACCAACTTGAAAACTGGGCCCATAATCAAAAATCTAAATACATGTTTAGATTAAGCATATCAAAGAACCCTAAGAATTCAATTTTTGTTAAAATCAAACTTAGTTGAATTTTGGACCCTTTGGACCTTAATGTAGACCAATTTGAAAACGGAACCAAAAATTAAGAATCTAAATACACGGTTAGATTCGGCATATCAAAGAACCCCAATAATTCAATTTTTGATGAAATCAAACAAAGTTTTATTTTGGACCCTTTGGACCTCAATGTGGACCAATTTAAAAACGGGGCCCAAAATCCAAAAACTTAATACACTGTTAGATTCAGCATATTAAAGAACCCCAAGAATTCAAGAATAAAACCCCATTGAAATTGGTCAAGAAATAAGCAATTTATACGAAGTATCTTCTTTTGCACAATACTGTGCAATTGAATATTTCTTGCTATTGCGCAATACTGCACAATTGACAATTTCTTGCTATTGCGCAATATTGTGCTATTGGATATTTCTTGGTATTGCGCAATACTGTGCAATTGAAGATTTCTTGCTATTGCGCAATACTGTGCAATTGAAGATTTCTTACTATTGTGCAATACTGTGCAATTGAAAATTTCTTGCTATTGCACAATACTTATTATATAATAATTTACACATCCTGTTTGGTGTGTATCTCCTACCATATCATTATTATTTGCTTTTAAATATAAATCAAAAATAACCAACTTAAAATGGAAAATTTTAAAAGAAAAAAAAAAAGGAAAAAAAAAAAATCCCCCCCCCCAATTTTTTGAACCCCCTTATGATTCACCACCCCCAAACTCAATCCCAGCCTTCCCTTTGTGGTATGGTACCTTGCAGTACAATTTCAGAGAGATCCATACACTTGAACACAAGTTATTGTCTGGAAACTAGAAAAATGTGTTTTTTGGCCCTTTTTTGGCCCCTAATTCTTAAAATTTTGAGGCAATTACCCCCAAAATCAATCCCAGCATTCCCTGTGTGATATGGAACCTTGTGGTACAATTTCAGAGAGATCCATACACTTGAACACAAGTTATTGTCTGGAAACTAGAAAAATGCTTATTTTTGGCCCCTTATTCCTAAACATTTCGGGCAATTACCCCCAAACTCAATTCTTGCTTTCCCTTTGTGATATGGAACCTTGTTGTACAATTTCAGAAAGATCCATACACTTTCACACAAGTTATTGTCATGAAACTAGAAAAATGCTTGTTTTTTGCCCCTTTTTTTGCCCCTAATTCCTAATATTTTGAGGCAATTACCCCCAAAATCAATCCCAGCATTCCCTTTGTGATATGGAACCTTGTAGTACAATGTCAGAGATATCCATACACTAACACACAAGTTATGTCTGGAAGTTACAAAAATGCTTATTTTTGGCGCTTAATTCCTTAACTGTTGGTACCATAACCCCCAAAATCAATCCCCACCTTCCTTTTATGGTATTGAACCTTATGGTAAAATTTCATAGAGATCCATTCACTTAAACTAAAGTTAGAGTGCGAAAACCAATGTGTCTTCGGACGACATCGACGACAACGTCATACCAATATATGACTGCAAAAATTTTTGCGGTCATATAAAAATGCTTATTTTTGGCCCCTTATTCCTAAACTTTTTGGGCAATTACCCCCAAACTCAATTCCAGCTTTCCCTTTGTGATATGGAACCTTGTAGTACAATTTCATAAAGATCCATACACTTACACACAAGTTATTGTCTGGAAACTAGAAAAATGCTTGTTTTTTTCCCCTTTTTGGCCCCTAATTCCTAAAATTTGGAGGCAATTACCCCCAAAATCAATCCCAGCATTCCCTTTGTGATATGGAACCTTGTGATACAATGTCAGAGAGATCCATAGACTTACACACAAGTTATTGTCATGAAACTAGAAAAATGCTTGTTTTTTGCCCCTTTTTGGCCCCTAATTCCTAAAATTTGGAGACAATTACCCCCAAAATCAATCCCAGCCTTCCCTTTGTGATATGGAACCTTGTGATACAATGTCAGAGAGATCCATACACTTACACACAAGTTATGTCTGAAAGTTACAAAAATGCTTATTTTTGGCCCCCCAATTCCTTAACTGTTGGTTCCATAACCCCCAAAATCAATCCCCACCTTCCTTTTATGGTATTGAACCTTATGGTAAAATTTCATTGAGATCCATTCACTTAAACTTAAGTTAGAGTGCGAAAACTAATGTGTCTTCGGACGACGACGACGCCAACGTCATACCAATATACGACCACAAATTTTTTTTTGCGGTAGTATAAAAAATATGATGATATCAAAGATCAATCAACACAAACCCCACAAAAACCTTGGGCGAACTATAGTGTTCCAGAAGGATAAGCAGTTTCTGCTTCATGAGTGGCACTCTTCAGATTGCTCTTAGAACAACAGATTGAGGCTATTGGTAGATAAAATAAATGAAGGCCAATGCAGAAATAATTACCAATCTAATTTGTTTTTATAAAAAAAAACTTCTTCTGACAAAGTTTGGTATATAGTCAATATCCCAAGCCCATGAATTATTTGATATAACATAACATATGAAATGACTGAGGTTTGAATTGAAGAATCTATATAACTTCTTAGCATTTAGAGGAAACCAAAATTCTGATTAACAATTACAAATTTTCAACTAGCAACTGAATTTCTCTTTAAGGCATGCAGGCAAGAATAGTTGTACTAGCTTTTTGTAATTTAATAGTCAAGCTTGGGCTGACACCAGGGAAGTGAGTCAATTATCAGCATATGAAGAAGTGAGCTATCATTTCCAAGCTGCTACAATATGAAATAAATTTTCTTACATGCTATGTACAAAGTATTCATGCTGAATAAAGTAGCAGTAATATTTACTTTAGTTTTTGCTTGGACTGTTAGGCTGATGATTTCCTTTACATTATATATGAGACTATCATGCTAACAATCAAACCGCGATAAAAGTTTTTACACTTGTGACTTGCACATTTTAAAATAATTTTGAAGTTTGGGACCATGTTGAATATTCTATGATAATCCAACAACTGGTCATTCAAAGCCAGAAAGTGTAGACAAACTGTTCTTGAACTAATTTTTCATAATCTTTCTAACTTTTGCAACAGTATACCTTCTCCACGACAGTCTGGACATATAGACTGCATTTGTTGTACCATACCAGGACCAAGCTGTCTCAATGTTACTTTCACACCTCTGCCATTACAGGTCTTGCATCTGTGCATAGCTCCCTGTTTACCACCAACCCTAGTATCATTAAAATAATCACATTCAAAACATGAAACTTGATTCTATTAAATAAGTTTTTCTTAATGTTATATATCCTGTTGTGTTATCACAATTTACACCCTTTGTTGTCTGTCTTTTTGTACAGAGTGTTGTCTTGTTTTATTTGGTATTTGGTGTCTTCTTCCGCTTTGATTCAGTTTTTCATAAAGACTTCATGTATATTTTCTTAAATGATTACTATCTGGCTTTTTAAACAAAGCATCATAATCCAATAATTTAATTTTGGATGTAACGCTTCTTCTGATTGGCTGACGTTGTTGTGTTTATCAGCTCATAGACATAATTTTGTCATGTGACCCTGACGTCATCAACATTTTTTATGGTTTACTCCGGTTTAAAATGGAATTTAGAATTAAATTATAGGAAATGACTGTAATATCTTTTTATGTCTATTCGAAATAACATAAAAAATGTGGTGCACACTTTAAAATAACCCGCTATGCGGGTTATTCAGTGTGCACCACATTTTTGATGTTATTTCTTCATAAACAGAAAAAATATTACAATCATTCCTTAATTGAATTATTTTGACCTACAGGGTTGATATAGGTGTGAAATTGAAAAAGCCATGCACTATTCCAACAGGATTTCATGTTTTTTTTCTAGTTCAAAAATGACATAGCACATTATAACAGGAAATGTGGAAGTAAAGCTTGCTTATGCATTATTTTTCTTCTTCTTAAAAAGTAAAAAAAATATATGTAAACATCCCAAAAAATATGATTTCCTTGGTTTTCAAGAGATTGTTTTTTTTGTACATCAATCAACATTCTTTCTGTTAAAATGTGCATCCTATACATTAAAAGAAAATATCATCAAATATGAACACTACTTACCCGTTACATTTTGTACATATTGTAGTTTTGCTTAGTTGTAATTTAGAAGTCTTTCCATTATACAAGTCTTCTAATGTAACCCTGAAAACAATTATATATTTGTTATCTAGATACTGTAGAGTGAAATACATGTACTAGGCTTCTAGAGTTGAAAGCATTTTAAATAACTAGAGGCTCTAAAGAGCCTGTGTCGCTCACCTTGGTCTATGTGCATATTAAACAAAGGACACAGATGGATTCATGACAAAATTGTGTTTTGGTGATGGTGATGTGTTTGTAGATCTTACTTTACTGAACATTCTTGCTGCTTACAATTATCTCTATCTATAATGAACTTGGCCCAGTAGTTACAGTGGAAAATATTTTGTAAAAATTTACAAAAATTTACAAAAATTGTAAATAAAATGCTCCGCAGGGCGCAGCTTGATACGACCGCAGAGGTCGAACCCTGAACAGTTGGGGGAAGTATGGACACAACATTCAAGCTTGATACAGCTTTGGATTTGGATTGTGATTAAATATTTGACACAGCATAGGTTTCTAACACAGATTGAATGTGGTCTAAGAACTTAAAAATTTTAAATTGGACATTCACCTATTATGGTCCAATATCCAAAATCTAAATACATGGTTAGATTCAGCATATCAAAGAACCCCAAGAATTCAATTTTTGATGAAATCAAACAAAGTTTAATTTTGGACCCTTTTGACCTCAATGTGGACAAAGTTGATAACGGGGCCCAAAAATCAAAAATCTAAATACATGGTTAGATTCAGCATATCAAAGAACCTCATATATTCAATTTTTGTTGAAATCAAACAAAGTTTAATTTTGGACCCCGATTTGGACCAACTTGAAAACTGGGCCCATAATCAAAAATCTAAATACATGTTTAGATTCAGCATATCAAAGAACCCTAAGAATTCAATTTTTGTTAAAATCAAACTAAGTTTAATTTTGGACCCTTTGGACCTTAATGTAGACCAATTTGAAAACGGAACCAAAATTTAAGAATCTAAATACACAGTTAGATTCGGCATATCAAAGAACCCCAATAATTCAATTTTTGATGAAATCAAACAAAGTTTAATTTGGACCCTTTGGACCTCAATGTGGACCAATTTAAAAACGGGGCCCAAAATCCAAAAACTAAATACACGGTTAGATTCAGCATATTAAAGAACCCCATGAAATCAAGAATAAAACCCCATTGAAATTGGTCAAGAAATAAGCAATTTATAGGAAGTATCTTCTTTTGCACAATCCTGTGCTATTAAATATTTCTTGCTATTGCGCAATACTGCACAATTGACAATTTCTTGCTATTGCGCAATATTGTGCTATTGGATATTTCTTGCTATTGCGCAATACTGTGCAATTGAAGATTTCTTGCTATTGCGCAATACTGTGCAATTGAAGATTTCTTGCTATTGTGCAATACTGTGCAATTGAAAATTTCTTGCTATTGCACAATACTTATTATATAATAATTTACACATCCTGTTTGGTGTGAATCTCCTACCATATCATTATTATTTGATTTTAAATATAAATCAGAAATAACCAACTTAAAATGGAAAATTTTAAAAGAAACAAAAAAGGAAAAAAAGAAAAAAAAGGGAAAAAAAATAAATCCCCCCCCAAAATTTTTTGAACCCCCATTATGATTCATCACCCCCAAACTCAATCCCAGCCTTCCCTTTGTGGTATGGTACCTTGCAGTACAATTTCAGAGAGATCCATACACTTGAACACAAGTTATTGTCTGGAAACTAGAAAAAAATGTGTTTTTTGGCCCCTTTTTGGCCCCAAATTCCTAAACGTTTAGGGCAATTACCCCCAAACTCAAACCCAGCTTTCCCTTTGTGATATGGAACCTTGTAGTACAATTTCAGAAAGATCCATACACTTACACACAAGTTATTGTCATGAAACTAGAAAAATGCTTGTTTTTTGCCCCTTTTTTGGCCCCTAATTCCTAAAATTTGGAGGCAATTACCCCCAAAATCAATCCCAGCATTCCTTTAGTGATATGGAACCTTGTGGTACAATGTCAGAGAGATCCATACACTAACACACAAGTTATGTCTGGAAGTTACAAAAATGCTTATTTTTGGCCCCTTTTTGGCCCCTAATTCCTTTACTGTTATTACCATAACCCCCAAAATCAATCCCAACCTTCCTTTTGTGGTATTGAACCTTGTGGTAAAATTTCATAAAGATCCATTCACTTAAACTAAAGTTAGAGTGCGAAAACCAATGTGTCTTCAGACGACGACAGACGACGACGATGACGCCAACGTCATACGAATATATGACCACAAAAATTTTTTTGCGGTCGTATAAAAACTGACTATGAAGGGCAATAACTCCTTAAGGGGTCAATTGACAATTTTGGTCATGTTGACTTATTTGTAATTCCTACTTTGCTGTTCATTATTGCTGTTTACAGTTTATCTCTATCTATAATAATATTCAAGATAATAACCAAAAGCTGCAAAATTTTCTTAAAATTACCAATTCAGGGGCAGCAACCCAACAACAAGTTGCCTGATTGGTCTTGCCCTAATGAACAATTTCATCCCATCAGATTTGCTCTAAATGCTTTGGTTTCAGAGGTATGAGCCAAAAACTGCATTTTACCCTATGTACTATTTTTTTGCCATGTCGGCCATCTTGGTTCGCGGGTGGGGTCATCGGACCCATTTTTTTAAAACTAAATACCCTAATGATGATTGTGGACAAGTTTGGTTAAATTTGTCTGAGTAGTTTCAGAGGAGAAGATTTTTGTAAAAGATTACAAAATTTACGAAAAATGGTTAAAAATTGACTATAAAGGGCAATAACTCCTTAAGGGGTCAACTGACCATTTTGGTCAAGTTGACTTATTTGTAGATCTTACTTTGCTGAACATTATTGCTGTTTACAGTTTATCTCTATCTATAATAATATTCAAGATAATAACCAAAAACGGCAAATTTTCCTTAAAATTACCAATTCAGGGGCAGCAACCCAACAAAAGGTCATCTGATTCATCTGAAAATTTCAGGGCAGATAGAAATTTACCTGATCAACAATTTTACCCCGTGTCAGATTTGCTCTTAATGCTTTGGTTTCAGAGATATAAGCCAAAATCTACATTTTACCCCTATGTTCTATTTTTAGCCATGGCGGCCATCTTGGTTGGTTGGCCGGGTCACCAGACACATTTTTTAAACTAGATACCCCAATGATGATTGTGGCCAAGTAGTTTCAGAGGAGAAGATTTTTGTAAAAGTTAACGACGACGGACGCCAAGTGATGAGAAAAGCTAACTTGGCCCTTTGGGCCAGGTGAGCTAAAAAAGTTACGATGACCTAAGTCTACAGAAATAACACTCGTTTAACATTTTCAGGAAATGTGCACTTCATTTACCTGACGAGGGAGAAAGTGATAGAGCAGACTGCTAATATAAACAAGATCCGTCAATAAGTATTTTTGATAGACATTTAAATTTTTTTTCTATATCTTTGCAAAAATGTTAATAAACTGCTTCGCTGAGCTCAGCTGGATATGCCCGCAGAGGTCCAACCCTGAACAGTTGGGGCAAAAATGGACACAATTTTCAAGCTGAATTTGGATTGTAATTAAATATTTGACATATTATAGGTTTCTGAATAAATGTAGTCAAAGAACTTGAAATTGGTTATATGAATAGAATTTATATTCAATTCAAGATTTCTTGCTGTTGTGCAATACACTGAATTTGCTGTTGCGCAATACTTAGTAAATCTGTTGTCAGACTATAAACAAATAAAGTTCAATTTCTTCTCAATGTCATATTTAAAATTTATGAAAATCAATAGGGAGATTACATCAATAGCTATAAATAATTCACCAAAGTTTCATGAGAACTGCTGAAAGCATTTTTGAGTTATTGTCCGAAAACTGGAAAATCCCCCCTTTTTTAATGAATAAAACCCCATAACTCAGAAATTTAAAATCTTAAATTTATAAAATTCTAAAAGGAGCTTAAATCAACAGATATAAACAATTCACCAAAGTTTCATGAGAACTGCTCAAAGCATTTTTTAGTTATTGTCCGAAAACTGGAAAATCACCCTTTTTTATGAATAAAACCCTGTAACTCGGAAACGTAAAATCTAAAATTTATAAAAATCGAAAGGGAGCTCATGTCAAAAGATATAAACAATTCACCAAAATTTCTTGCAAGTTGGTGAAAGCATTCTTGAGTTATTGTGGGAAAACTGGAAAGTCCCCCCTTTTTTTAATGAATAAAACCCCAAAACTCAGCAACAGTAAATCTGAAATTTATAAAAAACGAAAGGGACCTCACGTCAATAGATATAAACAATTAACCAAAGTTTCATGCATATTTGTCTAAGCTTTTTTGAGTTAATGTCTGACATGTTGACGACGGACGGACAGACGGTCAACGGTATACCATAATATGTCCCGTAAACGGGCATATAAAAACAAACACACTATTATGCAGATGTTCACAAAATCAATTCTTCAAAATACTTTCAATATAAAACTTACTTTAATGGGTGATAAGTGTCTTCTCCTTTTCTTCTACCTCTCCTTGGTCCACCCATTCCTCCAAATCCACCCCCAAATGGGCTTCCACCACCAAATATTCCACCAAAAAGATCTCCAAATATATCTGGGAATCCACCTGTAGATATAGAAATCTTGATATTGATTAAACTATTTTTTGTTGTGCACATTGTAATAATAGACAAACATATCATGACAAACTGGATGCTTTTAAAAGGTTTGAACATTGCCATGATTTCAACACTTTCAATAATTGTTTAGAGAGATCCAAAATAATTTTAAACAATTATTTGAATAGGGAATGTTTAATTACACCACATGATCAGAAACCCTTAACATAAAAATTGATGAAACTAAGCACATATTTCAGAACCAATAATGAAAAATCTGCAGTAGTTAGGATTTATATCCTAATAACAAGTTTCTTGACCTGAATATAGTTGATGGATACCTGTCCTTCCCTACTTTTAAACATCCATTTAAGATATACTTGCAAAACAGAACATTTTTCATTTTTTTTATTTCAACAATATATTGCATTTCTTTGTTAATACTGTGAAGGCCATTTCCACAATTCAAGTATTCCTACAACAAGTGGATTCACTGTCCTTAACCAGATGTATCGTCTAGTAATTATTTAATTGAATGTCCAATTTCAGTAAAAATATTAAGCATAAAGAACAAAACAAGCCAATTACTATAACTCCTACTTAAAATCAACCCTATTTTATACTGAATTATCTTAATCCCAGGCAATGGTGGTGCATTTCATTTTGGAATAACAAATTGACTATGATTTCTTCATTAGTTAAATATTACCTGAAGACCCAGCACCTTCTTTAAGTCCTTGTAAACCATATCTGTCATATGTCTCTCTTTTCTCTGCATTTGATAGAACCTCATATGCAAAACTTATTTCTTTAAACTAAAATGTAACAAGTAGGTTCTAAATAAACTGTTTTAATATAAACCATGACAAACACTACTATAGACACATTACATATTCAAAATTAAGGTATCTCAGTCTGACTATTTAAAATATTTTGTGTTCTCCATGATATATACAGAGAAAAATTCGTAAGGGTTCCGCGGAACCCAGTGTCTCGCCTACTTTTGCTGTTAATCGCAGACTCAACAAAAATGAGAAAAAAAACTAATAAAAATATTCCTCTCTATACTATTTTTTGATTGTAAGTAGCTTCTGTCCAAGTTTGGTAAAAATTCAGGATAGTTTATGAATCTAATAAATGTTTTAAAAACTTAAACTGCAGACTGTATGTAATGTTAACTGGAAGAAAAACTAAGTCCATTTATAAGTAAAATACAGAAAAAATGGAATTAAATTTTAACAAAATTTCCTTCTAGATACTAGCTTTTAATCATAAACAAGCTTCTGTCCAAGTTTGGTACAAATCCAGGATAGTTAAAGAATGTTGTTAAAATTTTAAAAACTTTAACCAGAGTGAATGTAATGTTAACTGGCAGAAAAACTAAGTCTATTTATAAGTAAAATACGGAAAAAATGGAATTCTTTTTTTTGCAAAATTTATTTTTGGATACTATCTTATGATCATAAACAAGCTTCTTTCCAAGTTTGGTAGAAATCCAGGATAGTTTAAGAAAGTTATTAAAATTTCAAAAACTTTAACCACAGAGTGAATGTAATGTTTCCTGGCAAAAAAACTAAGTCCATTTATAAGTAAAATACGGAAAAAATGGAAATTTTTTTTTGCAAAATTTACTTCTGGATACTATCTTATGATCATAAACAAGCTTCTTTCCAAGTTTGGTAGAAATCCAGGATAGTTTAAGAAAGTTATTAAAATTTCAAAAACTTTAACCACAGAGTGAATGTAATGTTTCCTGGCAGAAAAACTAAGTCCATTTTTAAGTAAAATACGGAAAAAATGGAATTTTTTTTTTACAAAATTTACTTTTGAATATTATCTTATGATCATAAACAAGCTTCTGTCCAAGTTTGGTAGAAATCCAGGATAGTTTAAGAAAGTTATTAAAATTTCAAAAACTTTAACCACAGAGTGAATATTTGTGGACGCCGCCGACGGAATGTAGGATCGCTATGTCTCGCTTTTTCGACAAAAGTCGAAGGCTCGACAAAAATGGATTAAAATCAATCTTCAATTCTGAACTGACAATATTTCTCTTATGAAAACTATATTCTTGATAAACAGCTCTTAGAAAAACAGCATAAATTCAACTGTATATGAGAGATTGATAGCTTGTTGTGAATGCTTTTATATATGTTTTTTTGTTGTTGAAAATATTTCAACTTAGGATTATATTAACCCTTTCGTACCGAAATGATCCTTTTGGCACCCTGGAGCGCGAGCCAAAATTATCCTTTTGGCACCACGGAGCTGTGGGCGAAATTATCCTTAAGGATACCTAAAATTCTATTTTTAGAACGACAACTTCAAAAGTAAAAATACTAACTTCTAACCATAGGTTTCGGTTCATTGTGTAAATAAAGTTATATTAATATAACATAATTTGAGTTTTACAATGATTGAAAGGATATATTGTTAATTAAATGCGAAAACTGAAAATAAAACCTGAAAAAATATCGACTCCATTTGCAAAATGGCGAAACGAAAAACTCCTCGTTGAATCGTTTTTTTCATGAAAATAGTGTAAGTATTCAAAGCAACAATGAATCAAATTAAATTTATAGTATAAAATTACAAACTTCAGGTTATTTTTGCTTTAACTTCAGGCTCGTAGTTTTTTTTTTTAAATGCTTAAAATGTCGAGCAGGTGCTTGTACGATAGTAAAATTTATCTCGGTGACATCACATTTGCAAACACAAATAAAGCTAATTAAAAATAGTTCTTGTCGGTCATTTTATATATCAACGAATTGATAAAAATCTCGAGAATTTTTGCATAATAATTTAATCCTTAATTACTTTTTTTGTGTGCTAAATATACAAAAATTCTTACGACCTTAAATTGAACCAGAAATAGACATCGTTATGGAAAATATGTCAACAATCATGGCGGAAAAATATTACACAATTTATGCACTCCGGTAAAAGTTTGTTTTCGCTTATATTTCGTTTACTTAGAAGTAAAAATAAAATTATCAACTAAATAAGACATGTAACCTGACACTAGTGGTGTTTTCTGCTATTTTAATCTGTTAATTTAAGTAAAAGAAGTGATGAAAGGTAAGTCTCGTATCACCGTTGGGTCACTTGTTCAGTCAAAAAAGGTTAAAAAAATGTCGTCTGATGAATCTGACAAATTTGAAGGCTTTTCTCAAGGTGAAATAGATGAAGCTGAAGCTAGATACCAGCATCAGTTACTTCAGCAGGGTTTAGGTGATGACAGTGACGTCTACATAGAATCTGGTGATTCAGACATTGATATCAATGATGATATCCCTGGACCTGCTGGTGATCCTGGTAATGTCTTTCATAATCATAATGGTTGGCATGAAAACTTTATATATCATGAACGAGGAATGCCTCACCTTTTCACACCTTCTGGAATCTCAGGGCCAACTAGGATCATGCCACAAGACAAGGATCCTATAGATTTCCTCAAGCTTTTCCTGACTGACATGCTAATTGAAAATTTGATTGATGAAACTGACCGCTATGCCCTTAAACAGAAAGAGCAACACCCAAATCAGAACAAAATGGCCTGGGTAAGACCTTCAGTTGCTGAGATGAATGCTTTTCTTGGACTCTGTTTCCAAATGGGTGTTGATAGGAAACCATCTACCAAAATGTACTGGTCAACTGATCATTTTTTGCATACACCTGTATTTCCGCAAACCATGAGTCGTGACAGGTTCACACAGATAATGAGATACCTCCACTTTTCAAACTCAGAATTAGAACCATTACCAGGTCATGAAAATTATGACCCCTTGTTTAAAGTCAAACCATTAGTAAATCACTTCAATGCCTGCTTCAACCAGGAGTATAATCCTAAAAGAAATGTCACTATAGACGAGAGTATGATTCCGTTTAAAGGTCGAGTTCAGTTTCGACAATACATGCCAGCAAAGCCACATAAATGGGGAGTGAAGGTGTGGATGCTAGCTGTGTCTCAAAGTAGCTACATACAGTTGGTAGACATATATCCAGGGAGACGTGCAACTCCTCAATTACACCTCGCTAGTAATGTTGTCAAAAGGTGTCTACAGGGAGCACAACTAGAGGGTAAAGGGTACCATGTGTATACTGATAATTATTTTTCAAGTCCAGAGCTTTTTGTAGATTTATTTGAAAATTATGGTACAGCAGCGTGTGGAACAGTCAGAATAAACCGTAGGGGACTACCCGTTGATATAATTTGTAAACGACCAGAAGGCATAAATCAACGTGGGGATATGAAGTTCCGCCAAAAAGGATGTCTTGTAGCTTCAGCTTGGAAAGATAAAAAAATTGTAAATGTCTTTTCAACTATTCATGACAACAGTACATCTGAAGTGCAGAGACAAGTCAATACAGATGGCAATTTCTCTAGGCAAAACTTTGTTTGTCCAAAAATGGTTGCAGATTATACTAGTAATATGGGAGGTGTGGACCGTGCCGACCAGTATATCCAATATTACTGCTATAATCATAAAACAATCAAATGGAGTAAGAGGGTTTTCTTTGTACTACTGGAAATGGCAAATTTTAATGCTTTTAAACTGTTCATCATGAGCAATAACCATCCATCTTCAATGACATTCCTTGACTTTACTTTAAATATTGTAAAAGGATTAGTCGCAGGCTATTCATCTGACATCCGACGGGGAAGACCATCACGAGTTCCACTTGAAAACAGACTTGTTCGGAGACATATGCCATCTAGTTTCAACAAGAAGTCAAAATGCCATTTATGCTACATGAGGACAAAAAATGGAAATCAGGAGACAGTTAAACAAACCAAATTTGGCTGTAATGATTGTGGAAAACACCTGTGCCTGCCTGAATGCTTTACCAAATTCCACACTGTAAGGAATTGTTACAACTGATCAAGGAAGTGGATAGAACTGTTTTGTTAATTTTGACTGTTACTTTTAAGCTGTTTGGACGTCTGTTAAAGTTTTAATTGTTGACTAGTTGTTATAAAAAAAACTGAACATTTACCACATATAAACAATCCTTATTTCCGATATCAATTCATGCAGGCAGGCCAGTGTTGACATTCAAGCTAGAGGATTTATCTGTAAATTTTTGTAAGTTATATATGTTACATTTTAAACATATATTTTTGTTTAAAATCATATGAACTGGCAGAATAGTTTTAGTTAAAAAAAAAATTCTAGACAGAAACTTTGAAGCATGAACATGAAAAAGATATGAATTTTAAAAGATGCCAAAAATTTTATAAACTATTAAAAAAAAATTCAACATTAAAACTTTTTCTCATGAACTATTTATTATGAATTTCATCCAGTCTTTTTATGCATGCACGTATACACACAGATAATGATTTACAAATCAAAATACAATAAATTTTCATCAAGTAAAAAAAAATCATAGATCTGTATAATTATCTCATACAGCAATGTCAGCATGTACAGTACATATATGAATTTACTGAAGTATATAACAAATGGTTTGTGTAAAGTAAATTAATTTGCTGAACCAAATGGGGATGAAAATGATAAAATACTGCAACATTTTATTGTTTGTCTCGATAAAATATTTTGGTTTTAATTTTGCTTGCAATTTTGCACGGATTTTGTTAGTTTCCAAATTCAAACTCTTGCTTATGGTAGGATTAATGTTCCTGTTTTTGTTGGAGTTGTCTCTCTTCTTTAACCATGTAAACAATATGGCGTTCGCAATTTTCTCGTAAACAACAGACACTTTTTTAAGCATTTTTTTGTCTGGAAGACATCGATTGGAATACTTTTTACGGATAAGGAGCTTGAGTAGTACGATTGTTATCCGTTTGCATGACACTTCTTTGAAGTAAAATTGGTTCAAACGTAATTTAAGTGCATTTAAACAGTACCGAGGTAGAAAAAATTCCGTACGCAAATTTTCAACTGGAAAGTAGAATAATTTTGCTTTAAATCGCAGTCATTCAACAAAATGACATTAACCCCACTTGGAGTACAAACTTTTCTTTCACCACGTGGCTTATGAACGACCAATTTACTGTCGTTTGCTGGAATTCCACGATTTCCGTAATCACGATTTTTTTCTGTAGAACCTTGCAAAATGAAACCCGGTCGGGGAATTAGCTTGAGGAAATAAACTTCGGCCACCAAATCCCGTGAAAAAAAATTAATTCAGGAGCGAAAGTGTTGATATATGCAAAATACTTTTCCTTAAAAACCTTTCTAAATGCTATTTATGTTCAACATTGTATTTATCAATGATCATGTTTCCTTACCTTTTCTCCTGCTTCTGGGTTTTTGTCTGGATGATATTCTTTTGCAAGCTTATAATATGCCTAAAAAGAAAAAGAAAGTTTAACTACCGAGTTTAACCAAAAGACAACGTTAATTTTCCGACAATTTGAAGATCGACATGTATTGCAATCCCATCCTTTTTTAGTGGCAAAGGTTCATGAATTGTATTTAAATTTCAGGATGATCAGTCGAAATGTAAGCTTAATCCATGGTGTGAAGCTCCTAAATTATATAGTTAAATAACTACTGTATGTATATTCAAACTTAATACTTCCAAACAAATTTATCAAATATTTTTAGGAGAGTTTGTTGATCTTTCATAATTGACATCAAGACCATGAAGTACAGCCCATTGTAATTCAGAAAAAATTCTATATCTAAACTTTGTAGATTTCCATCCTGTCAAATAGAGTTTGACAGTTTTAAAGATAGACACCCTTAATCAGGGGTTGAAACTTCCTCAAGCCCGACACACTGGGCTTGCCTATAATGGATTTCAGGCTGCAGTATACTAACTATATTTAAGCAACTGATTTTCCTTATTCAATTAGTGTTGTAAATTTTCAAACTATTGGCAAACAGGAAGTGATTACAAGGCAGATGCAAAAAATGCTAACTCGCTACACTCAACATTATCAAGCTGCAGAACAAACTTTTAACCATTCCCTTTCATAGAAGCCAAGAAAAATTTGATGAAATAAAGTTTTCTTTTAGAGTAACCATCAGACAGACTGTCGGGGGCCGGTGGAGCAGTAATTAGAAGCAGGTAAAACACATATAAAAAGTTAGTGTGATAGAAATAAGTAGTTCAATGTGGTTGTCTTATTGCAGTACACATTCTTCTCATGAATACTCATTGTCAGTTTCTATTCTGATTCATGTAAGCTCTTTTCATAGAAAAATAATTTATACAGTTAAGCATCCTGAAAAAATAGTGTCAGCATTTCTTTGGTGGGGGATTGTCAAAATCCGGGGGGAAATTGTGTGTTCACCAAGTCTGACATTATACATGCCCCAAATGGAAGTTCACCAATTTCTATATGTTTGGTTGTAAAATAAACAGACATGTTACGTTTTTAGTTAATTTTGTTATAACAAGTACCAACAGTTAAAGAAAATACTTCATATCAAGTTGTTTCTTTGAATATAGTCTTAGCAGTCTGAACCATGAGCTACTAGTCTGATGCCAAAGACCAGTAAAATATTATTTGGACTGGTGTAAGTATTTGCAAAACTTTGTTTAGACACACAAGAAAAATGACGGAAGATTGGTCTTCAGACTAGTAGTTGGAAAAGATTTTGGTGCAGACTGTCTAAGACAATGCTTTCACCACATTTCTAAAGAAACAAATTATTCAAATCTTTGAATTTCCTTAGATATAAATGAAAAATTGCTGTTTCATCAACATGGTACTAGCGGGAAATTGTTGATGACAAAAGCAACTGTTGTGAACACATGCACCCGTAAAACTAGATATTGCTTTTAACAGACAGGAAGGCTACTTCTTTGACCGGTAACATGAGCCCTGGTAATGGTTTAATGCTTATTTCTTTATTGGCTGTTCTAGTCCTGCTAATATATTGCTGCTATACTAAGCTGCCTTCAACTTAGTTCAAGCTTATTAAATCTTCAATTAAGTACAGTAGGCAGCCAAATCAGTAAAGACACCTCTTAACCTCATGTTGAATCTTCACTTATGTTATACTTAGACCAAATCTTTTTCTGATTTGGGCCAAATCAGGAAATCGGTCAGTACTCAGAATCCAAAAAGGGATTTCTCTTACTCTTAGCTCTGCTCTGAAATTCCCGATAGGGATTAACATCTTTATGATGATGAACCAGCTAAACAAGACCACCTGTTTCTTTCTTCTTTTAATTTTTTAATATGTTTGAAATTTGAGCGTATTGGTATAGTTTAATAATTTTGATTAGGTTGTACATTTATTTTGATTTATCATTGTGCAAGTTCAAACCATGGAACGTTCTATTTCTTAGTGAAATCCTGAGTCACCGTCCACCTTTGAATGTGACAAAATACATATTTGAAACCAATCAGGTACAGCTAATGTGTAAGGGGTAACATTTACTATCGCTTTCTCATTGATACCTTTTTGATTTCATTGTCTTGGGCAGATCTACTGACGCCTAAAATGTCGTATAATTTTGAGTCTGCCATTTTCACGAGGTTCGATGATGAAGCACTGCCACCTATGAAAGGAACGGTTGCTACATTAAGGGGAAATAATATTTCCCGCGTTTTATGTCCGCACTCTAGATGAATAAAAAAATCTTGTGAAAGGCCGGACTATTTTAATCATGATTTGGCCCGATATCTGTCTGACAGAATTCATATTCTACAGAAAAGGACGAAGAAAAAGAAGTTGATTACTATGATATTTTTTACATTATTGTTTATGTTTTTATATTCGGTGAAAAGCTCATGTTTAACTTACTTACTTAATTGATCTTAATTCGGTTCCTTTGATGTTGAGGTGCGATAATGAAGAGGCAATTAAACGTTTTTTTCTCTCTTCAATTTATCCGCTAATAGTAAATTTAAAAGTTTAAACGTTATTGCTAAATTGTCACGAACTAATTTTTTTCCTACTGTGATGCCAAAATCCAAATGATTTGTCATCCGTTCTGATTCAGATTATTAACATCTTAAATCCTATGGCCTATTCATAAATTTTCTTCAAATATTAATTTTAACGTTTCTTTAAATCTTTACGGTCTGTTTCTTCAGGAAAAACCACTGATAACCATAACACTGAAGTGCAATGTACCGTGAAACGATTCTTAATGGACACATATATAGCATGTTATGGCCCTTGTTCTCTCAGAGATGGATATCCAAAAAAAACACACGCACACGTTAATCCTAATTGAAAAACTAAACTGATTGTTTCTTAATTGTTATCATGAATTCGGCCGGGCTTGTTAAGCCCAAGTTGGCTATCGTTCGACGTAGATATATGGTTGTATTTCTGGTAAAACACAACAATACAATACAATAATAATTTATTGACGTCTCACCATCAATAATACAATATACACATTTCACATTGTAATATTAAACTTTTTAAAATTATTAATGCCATTCTAAAAAGAATTATGAGAGACTGATTAAAAAGGAACTAGTATATTTACACATTCTCAAAAGGCTATTATAAAACAAAAGTTAAATAAAAAAAAACTGTTTACATCTATTATCGGTATAAAAACGTCTTCTACGGTCTAAAATAAGTTTGCAGGTTTTGGCACATTTTTGTATCACAATAATATTGTCATTGGCTAAAATAAATGAAAGTTTCACGGAATTCGGCCAAAGACTAAAAAAATTTGTTTTCAAATTTTAAATCTTATACAGTTCGTCTCTAAGATCGCCGTACAACAGACATCCAGTATTTATTGTAACAACTCTTAACATAAAATGTATTTAAAATATAAATGTCACAAATATAAATAATCTTTGTATATTATGGTTTTAATAGCTAGGGGTTTTCGGTAGGATCCCAATTATTGGCCATTTAGTTGGGGGCGTAGCGATAGTGAGTCGACCCTAAATAGAAAAATTAAATTTATTTGAATAATAAATGTCAAATTATAAAAAGAATGAACAATAACATGAAAATAATGTCTGAAGTATTAATATTTCGAAGTTCTGTGGTAAATTTTGGGTGTTCTGTGGTAAAAAGACGCTCCCGTCAATACATGCTCCTTCCGTTTCAATTTTATCTTCACAAACAAAACAAGTTCTTTGATCTATTGGGAGACTCTCGTAGCGTCCTGTCTCCACCCGTATTGGGGCAACACCGCAGCGAAACTGAGAATAAGCTCTTCGGTGTGATGGTATAATAAGTTTATTTAGGTAAAGTTCTGTATATACATCCTGTTTAAATGTTCTATATGTACGTAGTTTGTTACCCCCTGGTCCATTTTGTCTAGTAGTGTCACTATGCAAATCTTCATGCCATTTCTGTTTGAAGTCGGACATAAGTTTTAAATGTATCGCATTGGTAACTCGCAGCTTATCAATGTTAATGTTATTAAACCAGTTCGGTATCCCACATAATTCAAATTGTCTATAGATTCTAAAGTTAGAGTTTTTGCATACTTGATGTCGTCTGAAATTCTTCTCTGTCCAAATGTTAATATTCTAATTTAGTCTATTCTCATCCATATATCGTGACCGATTCCAGTAGTTTATGATAACCCGCCATTGTTTCACAAAAGGTGATGTCCATCCCGAATCTCCATTAACTGCAACGTTAGGCGTATAACGACCAACGCCCGCATGAAAAAAACGGACTGCTTTTTTTTGAACTGCATATATACACGATAATGACTTATCTCCCCATACTGCCGCACCGTAACTAATAGTACTCCACACCATAGAGTCGTACAGCTTTGCAAAAGTTCCAAAGGGTAAACCTCCAAGTCCCTGTATTTTGAAATTACAAGACCAAGTGCTCGACTAGCTGCTGCTGCAACACATTTTGTCATGACGTTAAAGTCCAAATGTTCAGTAAAAACTGAACCTAAATATGTGTAACGTTCTACTGTCTGTAAAATGAGATTTCCACAATGAAAGCTTGTTTGGCTTCTAGGGATCGAATTTGGTCGAAAATGGACTATATTTGATTTATTGTCGTTTATTATCATCTTGTTATCGCTACACCATAAATTTAATGTATTAAGTAATGTTTGTAGTTCTGTTTCTGTGTTTGATAAAAACACTTAATCATCGGCATAAAGTAACATTGGCTCTTTCTCCCCATCGATGTCAATGCTAATATCTAGTGAATCAATATAAGTAGCTAATCCGTTTATATATAAGTTGAAAAGTAATGGCGACAATAAACAGCCTTGTTTGAGTCCACATTGAACGTTAAACCAGTCTGTCTGATGTCCATTAATGCGAACACAGCACTCCACGGACTTATACATAGACAAAATAGCGTTATAAATATTCCCGCATATACCAAGGACGAATAATTTCTGGAACAACATCGCTCGATTAATCCCGTCATACGCCTTACGAAAACCAATTAAGGCCACGAAAGTCGATAAACACTTCAATTTCCTAGTCTCGATTATCGATGTTAACGATTTAATGTGATCTATTGTACTGCGCCCTTTCCGGAAACCATTTTGACTGTCGTGAAGAATGTCATTTTCGTCTTCCCATTTTACTAGCCTGTTATTAAGTATATAACAGTACAGTTTATAGCACACTGGTACCAATGTTATACCTCGGTAGCACATGCATATGGGGTCTTTCGGATTTGGTGTTGACGATTTCGGGATTGGATTTATAATTCCCTTTGTCCACGTTGTAGGGATAACACCACTGGAAAAGCATTTGTTGAAAAGTTTGTATAAAAAGTTCAGTAATTTCGTCCACGCCAACGGCTTTGTTACGCTTTAAGCTACGCACAGCTTTCATTACTTCAAAGATTGTGATTTCAATGTTCATTTCACTCTCGGTATCAAGTCTTTGATCCATCACGTATTCCGAATTGTCAGTTTCTGGGTTCAATAAACTACAATAAGAACGTTTCCATTCAGCAATCACTGCTTCACGACAATGGGCTATGCTTCCGTCCGGTAATTAAACCGACATAGGTATAAGTTTTCTTAGAAAATGAAACATTTCAAAAAGTCAGCAACCGAAAGCATAAGAAACGTAACAAGTTTGATTTTCCGAACGTCTTTGTCATTTTTAAAATTCTTTTAACAACGGGCTCATCGGCTTTTTAGACTGACATGCACATGACCTGTTTGAAATTCCATTTTAAATTACGATTCACGATTTTTATTCAGCCTGATGAACATCGACATTCCATAAAATCGCCACGACTAGAAACATTGATTTATTGGTAATCGTTTGCTTATGTTTCCTTTAAAGTTAAAAAAAAAACATAACCAAACATTATCTTGCCGTATTGTTATATTATCCTGCCCCAATACTATGAACCTTATGTCTGTCTAGACTATGCTTCTTCTTTCTTTATAAATCTCTGTTTATAACTATACGAATCTGATTCATTATCTTGCCTTGTCAACTTCCATTACCTGCTACCAACCGCTGGAATTTATCTTCTGTTTTAGATTTATCTCCCTTTTGTCATATACTCCGTTTTACGATCAACAATTTCGACGATAAGTACTGTCATACAAGTGGGAGGTTTAGCTAGCTATAAAGCCAAGTTCAACCCACCATTTTCTTCGGAAAATGCCTGTGTCAAGTCAGGAATATGACAGTTGTGTTCACTCGTGCCGTTTATTGATAACGTATGATTATGTCAGTTTTTATGGACTTCTCAGGCCTTTCTGAATTCATGATTTACCCTGGAGTTTGGTATTTTTGTTATACTTTTTTTTATTCCATAGATCTATTTAATAATAATTCATTTTAAATCAGTTAATTTAATTGAGTTTCTCATTTTTCTATGTTGTACAAACAATCTGACATTTAATTTCAAAGTTTTCTCTTAAGCATTTAAAAGTTGTCCATTTATTTGGTCTAATGTTAGTTCTTTCGTGGTCTTATTATAATAATAATAATAATAATAAATTCTTTATTTAAAGAGGGTAAACTCAGTTAGTTACAATAAACTAATCTTCCCTGAGGCCCTCACATACAAATTACAATACAATCAAAAACAGATATTTACACATAGTTAATTTACAGTCAATTAGTTCAATGTAATATTACTAACATGATAAGATATAAGGCTGTTCAAGATGCACATGTAGTCAAAAAATCAAATAAAAATAAAAATAAAAGAATATACAAATCCATTGTAGAAAACATAATCTTATCAGGACTGTGTTAAGTACTTCTTGATACTTTGTTTAAAAGTATAAGTGTTTTGAGCTTTACGCATTGTGTGTGGTAGTCCATTCCATAACACTGATCCAGAATAAACAAAAGATTTCTTAAATAGCTCAGTTTTTGGCTTAGGAACTATCATATTACCTTGAGTGACACCTCTCAAGGAGTAAGGATTATTATCTGATTTCAGTTTAAACTTATTGGACTAATAGCAATAATGCTGTAAACTACTTATTTACTAGAGAATTCTAATGGACAACATTTTATTGTTTGACAAAAATTTTGACGAAAACTATCAGAGTTCGTATTATAATCAGAAAAATTAAGGGATATAAATTCAGCTCAGGCTACATGTGGTACAGT